TACCTCTCCTCACTATTCTTATTTCTGGCCCTAAACAACCAGGCATTGATATAGACGTGTTCCTCGAGCCTTTGATGCAAGAAATGGAGAGGCTATGGAGGCATGGGGAGCAGATGTACGATGCGTTCCAAAAGGAGGACTTCATATGTAGGGCAATAATATTTGTTACTACCAATGATTATCCCGCGCTGTTTGCTTTGTCTGGACAGATCAAAGGAAAGACAGGATGCTTGGTTTGCTTGGATGGTACTACATGAGTGTACCTAGATGCATCCAAGAAGATAGTTTACCTAAGGAACCGACACTTCTTAAAGACAAGTCACAAGTACCGCAACAAATTGTTATTTAGATTTTATGACAACGCCCCAGAGATTGAACCCCCTCCGGAGAGACGTCAAAATGGAGAACATGTGTATAGAATGGTGAAAAACATATGCGTCGTCTATGGAAAGAAGAATCCGGATGGGACGAACAGAGATAGAAGCACACCTCCTGTCGAAGGAGTACCTTTCAAGAAACAATCGATCTTCTTTCAGTATCTGCCTTATTGGCCAGACTTGGAGGTCCCCCATGCCATTGATGCTATGCATGTGCAGAAGAAGAATATCTTTGAGAGTCTCATTGCTACCTTGATGGACACAGGCAAGTCAAAGGATGGTCTGAAAGCAAGGAAAGACATGGTGCAGCTAAACGTGATGCCACAGCTTCACCCGGTACTTGAGGCTAATGGAAAATACACTCTGCCCGCGGCGTGCTTCAACCTAACACCAGACGAGAAGAGAGCTATATGCACTTTCCTAAGGGGGATCAAAGTCCCGACTAGGTTTTCAGCAAATGTGAAGAAGCTAGTGTCGATGAAGGACTTGTCAATAACACACTGCAAGGCTCACGATTGCCATGTGATGCTGATAGTGTTTCTACCTATTGCAATAAGGGCTATAAAGCCAGAGTTCTTGAAAATGGCCATCACCCGCATGTGCTACTTCTTTTCAAAGATCTCACAGAAGACGATTGGCAAGCAAGAGCTGAGTGACCTACATGAATTTGTGGTGGAGACACAAAATCAACGGAGATGTGTTTACCTCCTACTTTTTTTGATATAATGCCACATCTCATGATTCACATGGTTCATCAGATACAGGCGCTGGGCCCTTGCTACTTGCATGAAATGTGGTTCTACGAGCGGTTCATGTCGGTTCTAAGTCGATACGTGCATAATCGAGCATACCTAGAGGGCTCCATGATAGAGGGTTACAGTACTGAGGAAGTCGTCGAGTGCTGTCAAGAGTATCTAAAAGTATAGAAAGGGATTGGTAAACCTGATTCTCGTCACGAGGGTAGGTTGGCTGGGAAGGGCACCATGGTAGAAAAGTGTTGATGGACCATGATTACAAAGAGGTGAGTCGGGCACATTACAGTGTCTTGCAGAGTACACAACTGATGCAACCGTACATTGATGAACACTTAGCTATCATTATGGCGGAGAGAAATAACCGTTCGGATGATTGGGTCATGAAACAACACAAGCAACGACTAACTACATGGTTGAAGGACCAAAACATACCGCCTGAAGAAACCATAAACTCTATTACCATCAGTAGGTTAGCGAAGGGGCCATCGAGACAAGTGACATCTTGGAATGCTTATGACATCAATGGGTATACATACTATACCCATGCAAAGGATAGTAAATATGTGAACCAAAACAGCGGCGTTCGAATAGAGGCTCTCGATGGATTAGGGCGAAAGATCCAATACTTTGGCATCATTGAAGAGATATGGGAACTTGACTATGGAAGGGATATAATGGTGGCCCTGTTTCAATGTCGCTGGATCAAACAACACCAACTGAATGAGATCCGATTGAGAGTCCTGGACCTCGAGAATTTAGGCTACCAAGATGACCCTTGGGTGCTCGCTTCACGTGTCGCACAAGTTTTCTATATGTCTGACCTACAAAGTAACCTCCCCCTGAAGAAGAAGACAAAGCACGTGGTTGCCTCCGAGAAACAACACATTATTGGAGTTGATGGCGTGGACGATGTTGAAGCTTACAATAACTACGATGAGATGCCGCTATTCACAGACTTTCCTAAGAAGATCAGTGTTGTGGAAAAGAACCTCCCCAAAGACATATTGTCATGGGAACGAAAAGGTGTCAAGGGGAAAGTCGTTACAACGGGCTAGCTAGTTGTTGAACGTGGAGTGTTTGTGTAAGTGTGTGTTTGTAAGACTTCATTTATGCATGCGTGTGAGACTATATATTTATGTATGTGTGTAAGACTATATGTTTTTGTATGTGTGTGAGACTACATTTATGCATATGTGTGAGATTACCCTTTGCAACATCCAGATGAATCTATTTCAACATCCATTCTATTACTACTAAAACTTTATGAAATCACTTAACACTTTATGAAATGAAGAAATAGCCAAAATAAAAGTAGGAGATCTTGACGAGTTATACAACTTTTATATTTATCACCTTTACAGTTGAAATCATTTAGTGGTTGAAAATCAGGTTTGAAGCTGTCATTTTCTGAAATTCAAAATTTGAACTGTTCAAATTTTGTCAAATAAAAAGATGACCAAAATAAAAGTTGTAGATAGTGATGTGTTCAACAACTTTTATATTCATCACCTTGACAGTTGAAATCATTTATTGGTTGAAAATCAGGTTTGAAGTTGTCATTTTCTAAAACTCAAAATTTAAACTGTTCAAAATTAGTGACAAAGATAGATGACTAGACTCAAATCATAGAGCATGATTTTAGAAAATTTTAGGAGAAAACCCCATCATATTTGGAGTTAGTATGAGGGAGAAAAACTAGTTACAAGTTTCAGCCACAGATTAAAAAGAGAAATCACACTTGTTCATCATGAACAGTTGTGATTTTTCTTTTTAATCTCTGAATAAAATTTGTAACTAGTATTTCTCTCTCATACTAACTCCAAATGTGATGATTTTTTTCCTAAAATTTTCTAAAATTATGCCCTATCAAGTTACTGTGTTGATTTGGTCATTCTTTTCATTTGACAAAGTTTGAGCAATTCAAATTTTCAAATTTAAAAAAAATGACAAGTTCTAACGAGATTTTCAACCATTAAATGATTTCAGTTGAAAAAGTGATGAATACCAAAGTTGTATAACTCATCAAGATCTACAACTTTTATTTTGATCATTTCTTCATCTGACAAAGTTATAGTAAATATTGTTCACAAATCAACATGTTTCTCGGATAGTTAATGAAACTATGTGTCATATGTGAATTTATGAACAATGTTTACTAATATTTTCTTACATGAAGAAGTGATCAAAATAAAAGTTGTAGATAGTGATGAGTTAAACAACTTTTATGTTCATGACTTTTATTGTTGAAATCATTTAAGGTTTCAAAATCTTGTTTGAAGTTGCCATTTATTAAAATTTAAAATTTCAACTGTTCAAATTTGGTCAAATGAAGAGATGATCAAAATAAAAGTTATACATATTGATGAGTTCTACAACTTTGGTATTCATGAGTTTTTCAGCTGAAATCATTTACTCTTTCAAAATATTGTTTCAAGTTGAAATTGTTTGAATTTCAAATTTTAAATTGTTCAAAAAAAGTCACATGACAAGATGACCAAAATAAAAGGTGTACATGTTGATGAGTTATACAACTTTTATGTTTACAACATTTTCATTTTATTTCATTTAATGTCATAAAATTGTAGTCGAAGTTTTAAAATTTAAATTTTTAATTTTTGGTTTTTTGTTTTCTATATTGTTTTGTCTACAATTGTTTTTATATATATATTTCTGCATATATAGAATAATATAAAATATTATATTTGTGCATATATACAATTGTTTTTATATTACTTTGTATTTTTGTGTTATAAAAAATACAGAATTAATAATTAAATTAAATAGAAAATATTTCTAGGGGCGGCTAGATCAGGAACCACCCCTACAAATGCATTTCTAGGGGCGGCTAGATACAAATGCATTTCTAGGGGCGGCTGGATCAGGAACCGCCCCCTACAAATCACCCTTGGTATATAAACAGGGGCGCTCGGGTGACAAATTGTTAGGCGCTCTCTTCTTCCTCCCGACACCGTCAGGCCGCCTCTGCGCACCCCCGGCCGGCCTTCCCCGACGCCGCCGCCTCCCTCTCTGCACCGCCTCTCCGCCACCTCCCGCCGCCTCCTGGACCTCTCCCGACGTCGGCGCCCCCTCTCCGCACCCCCGGGCCACAGCTAGGGTTTGAGCTGTGGCGGACCGGCATCGGCGTCTCCCCGCCTGCCATCCAACGGACGGGCTCGAGTAGCCTGACCCGCCGCGGCCCGCGGACGCTCCCTCCCTCCATCGACCAAATCGACCGCCGCGGCGCGCCTCTAGTCCCCATCTCCGTGGATCTCCGGTGAGTCCTCTAGCACCCACCATCCATGTAGCGCAGCCATGACCTAAGTCCTCTGTTAGCGATTTCTCTGTGTTGCTATGGGTATGAATGGAGACTGAAATATTGTGTAGATTTGTAGGTTCATAGCCCTTTTGTTGAATTGAATGCAACGAACTTGCTGCATTCGGATTTGGTGACGGACTGTCTCTAACTCTAACCCCCCTCAGGCGATATAGTTAGGTTCAGAATTGGGAAGCAATAAAAAGAAATGTTTACTCTTGCCTTGTTTATCTTACCATTTGCTGCTGGTGCTGTGGTCAGGAGGCTCTAAAATAAGCACCATCTGTGTATTGCTAGTTTAAATGATGCTGGCCTGTGATGCCATCTTTATGAAATCACTTTAACTTCACTTTTCTGCCTGCTAGGTTCTTAACTGCAGCGCCATTAGTCATTACTAGTCAAAAATGGGTGAAATCTCAAAAGTGATTTTTCAGCTTTTGGGAATTCGTTATCTCCTGTAATGCCATTCCATGCGAATATTTGCATTTATTCAAACTTTTACATTGTTTGCATGACTGTGTCCTGCAATCATGGACTGAGTTTTAATGCGTGCGCTCATCTCTGGTTTAAGAAAAGGCAATCAAATTAGTTACATTATGTCTAGATGGCCTGAGCTTTAGGTATGCTGTCACTTAGAGTTTTTTACTATTTTAGCACAATTTTTGGAACAGTTTTAGGTTCACAACAGGGAAGCAATCAACTCTCTTACGTTATTTATCTTGCTGTTTACTGCTAATTCTGTGGTCAGGAGGCTGGCTTGAGATGCCGGTTGAAAGAAATCACTTGAATTCTACTAGAGTCTTTACCGCAGAATCGTTAGTTATTCCTAGAGTAGAAGCACATGGTTGGTTGGTAAGAAGCACCAATAGAAATGAGGATGCACCAATACCTTTTTCCTCTCTTCCTCCAGTTTTCTTCTTTCCATGTCAGTTTGAGCAACTTGTTCATTTAGTTCGTTGGACCTCCTTTCGATGCTACTCTCTTTCTCAGCCAACTGTTTTCTCAGTTTTTCAGTCTCCTGAAAAACTCTCTGTGTATGCTCACGGGCAGCTGACTGCATATTCCTCATTTCTGTGAAAAGGATAAATAAAAATACAATAGGCACAATCATTTTAGGCAATATAAATGAGCATAACATCCATAAAGTTCTGACAGGAGAATATTTCACAACTGGAATTCAATGAGTGTACCTTCATTATAACGTTTGTGCAGCAAATCACTTTCTTCCATAACTTTCTGAAGGGAGAGATTCATTTGATTACAACACTCTAGTTCCTGCATATACTTGCTTTTAGCGGTGATCTGTTGAGTCAAATTAGCTATGAGATTGTCAGTCTTGCTGGACATCTCTTGTTCCAATTCAGACACTGTCTTGAGGTCACCATTTGCTGACAAGAACCTACCAACTGGGTCACCTGATTTGTAATCCTCTTCTTTTGCCAGCCATCCAAACACATATTTTACATGTAGCTTTGTTTCCTTCCATTCCAGTTTACCCAAGCGCTGTGACTTGAAATAGTTATGGAATGCTAAGGCATTCTTGAACCCAATCCAATCCTCGGTGAAAAGAACAATGACGTAACCAGTATACCCATTGTCACCATACACAGCAGTAACTTGCACGGGTTTGAAATCAGCTAGCTGCTTCATCAGTATGCCTCCACCCCCCCTGGGTTTGTTCGGCCGGAACATTTGTGAGGATGCCCATCCAGGGCCAAACAAACACTTCCAGATCTTGCACTGGCTTTGGAGGGTTACTAAGCGCAATAGCCTGCCGTGGTGGAATAGTGGGCAATGCACCACTATTCCATGGGGACTGTTGTCAAATTTTAACATGGGGACTGTTGTCAATTTTTTCATCTTTGTGGTCTCCATTGCTCATTTAAACAGTCAGTTAGTGCAACTTGAGTCAGTTAGTGCAACTTGCAAGAAGGCTCACTGTTTTTAGAAATGCCCACTACTTTTAGATATGTGCATTGTTGCTTGAGCTTGTTTAGATATGACAGTGAAATAGTGGGCAATGCAGTCATCAGCTTGTGTGCTTATTTGTGTAAATGCTCATTGCATGCTTGACAGCTGCTTAGTCTGGTGAACTGATTAGCCTGCTGCTTACTTAGAAAATATTGCTCAGGCCCTGCCACTGTGATCAAAATAAAAATTGCATGCTGCTATATTATTAAGAGAGAAGTTGCTTGCTGCTGTATTATTAAGAATTTCTATGCTCGAGCTGTATTACTAAGAAGTTGCTTGCTTGCTGTATTATTAATTCCAGCATGAAACTTAGATGGCTCTTGAACTCTTGAAAATAGACTGTTTTATATATGCCAACTGTTTTAATATATGCTTATATATGCCTACTGTTTTATATATGCACAGTGAGTCTTCTTGCAAGTTAAAAAATTCTATTTCCTCCGTTGCTCATTTAAACTATCAACAAATTGGCTTTATTTCCTATCACATTGTCAACATGGTACTACTGATGCTTGTATTCTATCACATTGTTCTTATTAATGGCTTTATTTCCTGGAACACATTGACTTACTACTACTATAGTGTTGGCTGCTGCTCTGCCCTCTTCCCTATACTATTAGAAACTACTACTGGTACTAGCTAGGTGCTAGCTACTCTACTTGCTGCTAGCTACTCTCCTACTATTACTAGTTGGCTAACTAAGTTACCAGATTTTGATCTGCAGGGGTCTTCCAACCATGTGGCAGCAGTCAACTGTTTTTTGGCTATTTTTTCTATCCTTTATGTTTGGGAAGCAGCAGCTGCTTATTTTTACACCTTTTTCTCTCTATATTTGTTAAGCAGCTGTTGCTTTTTTTTTGTGCCAAATCTCCCCTCTCCTCTCCTCTCTTTGTTTTGCCGATGATGAAATTGTCTAAGTCCATACATTATATGGAATATGAGCTGATGATCAAGAACTTGTGAGGAACTTGGCATCATTAGCAGCCGCCCTTACATTACCTTCTCCTCTCTTCTTTGTTATGATGCCTTGATGCTCCAAGTTCAAGATCAGATGATGATTGATATGTTTCTAAGGCCTCTACTACTGCTACTTCTCGTTTTTTGACATATTGTTGTTTTATAGGACTACTTTGTTTTATAGACCTTTTTTATTTCTTATACCTTCTCGCGTATCTAAAGCACACTTTCTTGCATCTATTAGAACAAAGCGCAAAATAATGTCACGGACACCAGACAGTGTAGCCCGATGCCTCGAGCATGATGAGCAGCCAACCCTTGAGGAGCAAGCACTAGAGGACCAGCTTATTCAGGAACAGTTCGATAATGAGGTAGAAAATGATCTAGAAGTGATGCTTACTCAGGAGCAGTGTGACGAGGAGAAAGGCCCCGAAGGAGAGGCTGCTGAAGGCGAAGAAGAGGATGATGATGACGATGACTCAGAAGAGGGATATGAAAGTCCCGAGGATCCTTTCCCACGTGAAGTCAGAAGGAGGCCAACGGAGAAAGATTTGGACAAGGATTTTGACCCGAACGAGGAGGTAGGAAAAAAGCCTTAGCTTGTAAATTTTGCTAAAGCTTTGGCTGTGTTACCTCTACTAACACTTTGACCTGTCGTATATACAGGTCCCTCCTGAAACTCAGAAAAGATGACGTCGACGTCTGTGACATCTCGCTGGACAAGACGGAGTAGAGGAAAGGAGAGCAGAGGCAACAGCCACAGAGACGGATCACGATGCCTCTGCTCCGCAACCTCATGACACAACCACGACTACCAAGCCTAAGAGGAAACGAGGGGATAGAAAAGGAAATCTATATCTAGATAAGGCATGCTATGTGATAACGGAGGTCAGGCCAGCAGGGGAGATCCTTGAGCCGAAGGAATTAAGAGGATGATTCCGTAATACGATCGGAGCCCTAGTAAGAGATAAATTGAACCCATCAATCCCTAACTAGAAAGAGGTACCAGAGAACACAAAGAATGCACTATGGGATAGGCAGCTGAAGCTCAATTTTAGATTTCCAGAGGGTAAGCACGAATTGGTAAAAAAATGCTTTTAGGATGATGGGAGAGTCATTCCGACGTTGGAGGTCGGAGCTCAACACGAAGTATATCCAAAAGGGGTTAACTCCCTTCAACGAGTTTGGCAAAATAACTCCTAGTCAATGGGAGGAGCTCGTGGCTCAGAAGACTTCACCGGAGGCATTGGAGCTCAGTGCCCGTAACACCGAGCTGGCAAAGAGGAACAAACACCACCATCATCTAGGCCTCGGTGGCTACTATGCCAAGGAAGAGTAGTTTAGGAAGATGGACGAAGAGGCCGCAGCTGCTGGGAATATCGATGTGACAAATTTGAAGGTACGCTCAAGGAACTGGATATATGCGAGGAGTACAGAATCATCCGGCGATAATCTTAAGTTTGATAAGCCGGAGACCTAAGAGGCAGTATCAAGGATACTGAAATATGCTGAAGACAAGGAGAAGGGCTCATTCAATCCTTCCAGATAGAGGGACGAGCTTAGCCTTGGCTTGGGAAACAAGGAGCACACATGCTGCACCAAGGGCCTAGGGAAAAGGACGATCTAGAAGCAAGGATTCGAAAAGGACAGACACATGTACAAGAAATATGGCAGAGACCGGGAGACTAGTCTTGAGCTCCAAGTGAAGGCTCTAGTTGTGAAGGCGCTGGAGGAGCAAGGACTGTCTACGGAGCCACGGATATTAGTGATGCCACCGGGAGAACTGGCATTAGTTGGCAGCCCTCCGAAAGTTTCTAGCAGCCAAGGTTCCACTGCAGCCACAACCCCCGTCGATCGCATACGAGACCCAACTAGTTGCACCTTGGTGTTTCTTAGCGGCCGGCAGAACACTGTGATGGAGGTGGCAACGGGTGTGGCACATCCTCCCGATGTCTTACACCACAATAATAAGATACCACCGGACTACACTAGGGTCAAGGTGCATACAGTGAAGCCCGAGTTCATGCAGTGGAGGATAGACTACGCAACTCCCGAGGGACTGGTGTTACTCGGAGACGTTATGGGGCAGTTCATCCTCTGGCACAAATGGGACATTATATTGACTGCTTCTTCGCCGCCTCCCCCTCTCCCAAATTTGGAGCGAGTTGTTGAGTTCGGGGAGATATTTTCACCGTCTTGTGACCCCCACATTCCTGAGATGCCACATTCTTCCCCGCCTCCTAGCGAGCATGTGCCTGATGATATGCCACAACCTTCTCCAGCTTGTACCGAGCAAGTGCATCATGAGATATCACAGTCTTCTCAACAAGCACAGCCGATACATGAACAACGAGTGCCTCCTAAAGAAGGTGATGCACAAGAAGATGAGGACGTGCCTGAATGGGAACTTCGAAAGAAGCATCCAATCACCATAAGGCCAGTTTATGTTCCGATCAAAGACGTCTCGTCGGTGTCCAAGTGGTTTTCCCATGACCAGTTCAAGCCTGAGAACCAAGTTAAAAATGTCCCATCATGGGGTTCTGAGGAGGCCGTCACTAGCAAACTCCACCAAATTGCAAATCAGTATCCAAATGTTGATGCCATCAAATGGTCAAAGGATTGTCCAAAAACATATGAAAGAGGCAAGCCCTTCCTACCAAACTGGGACATCCAGCGCCTACCACTTGGAATGAGAAGGTTCCATGATTGGTACCTGCGTGTTCTCCCAACAAGCATAGATCTCATACAAGCATGCTTCCCCACCGGCACATTTGGAAGCCTAGCCGAGAAAATTGTCTTTGACTTCAATGACATGCACATATGCTTTCACCTGGGAGAAATGGAGATGAATCTAATTCACACGTGGTGCCTGTAAGTCCTTGTCCTCCTGATATGATATGAATGTAATCTTTGAATTTTGTTGTAACTAACCCACGCCGTGATTTGTAGAATGCAAGTGCACATTGTCAAACAAATGCCAAGTGTGAAAGCCGGGTATGTAGACCCTCAAGCTATAGCCCAAACAAATTTTAATTACCCTAAACGGTGGACACTGGATGCCAAAGAGCTAGCTGCTGCAAAAACTCTTCGGGAGAAAGAGCGCATCCGTACGGCGAAACTAAGGGAAGAGTCCCTTAAGGTTGCGACATACATTGCCCTGGCTTTCAAAAATCTCCAACAACACTCTACTATATGGCTACCATACAACTTCGAGTAAGTTCAACTCTATACTTAAAGCTTTGCTTGATATATTTTATTCGATGCAAAAGAGCTTATCTAGTTCTATGATTAAATCCATGCAGCAACCACTGGATTTGTATAGCCGTCGATGTCGGGAGGAGCATGGCATGGGTCTTTGATTCATTAGATAGGGACACGGTGACATACAAAGACTTCATATCGATTCTCAAGACGTATACATATCGACAATCCTCATTAGCTTATATGTTTGTATACATACTTGTAACGTTCACTTTTGAATACTAACAAGTTGTATTGGCTAAAATAATTTAAACAGGGCATTTAGGTTCTATGTCACTAATCATCATGGAAGGCATGATCCAGCAAGGAAGGAAAAGCTAGCTATAAAAACACTATGTGCGATAAGTGTAACTTACTTCTTCAGTACTCCGTTACATGGCTGTCAAAAGCATTACTTAACATTTTCATATGCAAAACACACAGTGCCCCAAGAAGAAGCCTGGGAGTGTACATTGTGGATACTATATATGTTCTATGATGAGTAACACCGGTGCCTACAGGAGACACCCCTTAAGGGTAAGTTTGAACCTCTTCACCCGTAGTATAAAAACTTCGTACATGGTATGAAATACTAAACCGAAACTTGTTCTCTTGTAGTGGAGAGAAGAGAAAAGAATGAAAAGAGACCCATACAAGGATGACCAACTCTTAGAGCTCATCGGCGACCTTTGCAACTTCATATTGGA